AAGCTCAGGATGCACATTACTAGAAAAGGGATATTATATTATCAGGAAAACATCTAACCTAAATCATAACAACACATTTCCTCAAAACCATTCAAAACAATATATACAAGAGGACAAACAGGGACACCTGGTGGGTAAAGTGAAAAGGTGCGTAGGACTGGGTGACTAAACAGAGACAACAGAAACTATAACATTACACAAAGGAAAACACACACTTGCAGAAATCAATGCATAAACACATGAATTGCCTTCTGGTATTTTTCTATAGTTCTGGATCTAAACATGCAAAATAACTTTATACAAGAAGATATTTACATCAGCAAAACTTTTATTCTAACGGTAAAAACAACACTATGAAGCTGGGTAACATTAAAATATTAACAGAAAGCAACGTGTCTTAAATGTTACACCCTTCCAATAAATCACCTTAACATGGTTTAGGGCCATGTGTGACCCTGTGACCTGTGTTCTCAGACCAAGAATTCACTCAACATCTGAAAAGAGGTGTGGCAGCTGGACCGAAAAAAGGGAAACCGGGGCCACTATCTGGAGCCAGACCTGGGAGTGGAGCTTGCTGGTGAGGGTCTGGTTTCCGGGACATGAGACATATGGTTCGACCAGGAACAACCCGAAAACTCTACATTTAGCTGCCGCCCGATGGGCCCACCGCTCGAAGGGATATGCAGAGGGGTGATTGGGTAAAAGGGCTAAAGGGGATTATTTCCTGTGTGAGTTTTCATGTGTACCTTTAGATCTCTGTTGCGCATAAATCTTTTATCACAAACTGAGCAGCTGAAAGGTTTCTCTCCTGTGTGGATTCTCATGTTTCTTGAAACTTTTGTTATGAGCTGAATTACAAACTCAGAACAAATTTATGATTGAAGGATTACCTCCGCACGGCTCTCAATATGGCAACATGGGTGCAACAGTTCACAACAACATTTTATTCCAGGTGAGCGTGCCCCGGACCCCTCTAGAAAACCAACACTAACTAGAAAATAAAAACTCAATTAGTCTACTGGATCAAACTAAAGACAGTACTAAGCTCCCTGCCAACGTGAGGAGGCGTCACCTTAAACAAAGCATGGATCTCTCGGAGCAATCAAGGTTTAAAACATGTTTTGAATAAAGATAGGAAAAAAGTACCATATTTCTTCCCCTGCGTTATGTGCCATGTGGTGTGTCAGATTTACCTTTTGTATACAAACAGAACCACTAAAGCCGGTTGTCTATGAGTAATTATGTGTAACTTCAGAGCCGACCTGTGCTGAAAGGTTTCTCTCCTGTGTGGATTCTCATGTGTCTCTTAAAATTTGAGCCCCGGTTAAACGATTTCTCACAAACTGAGCAGCTGAAAGCTTTCTCTCCTGTGTGGATTCTTATGTGTCTCTTTAAAATTGAACCCTGGTTAAAAGATTTCTTACAGACTGAGCAGCTGAAAGACTTCTCTCCTGTGTGGATTCTCATGTGTCTCTTTAAAGCCGAGCAGTGGTTAAAAGATTTCTTACAGACCGAGCAGCTGAAAGGTTTCTCTCCTGTGTGGATTCTCATGTGTGTCTGTAAATGTGGGTGCTGGTTAAAAGATTTCTGACAAACTGAGCAGCTGAAAGGTTTCTCTCCTGTGTGGATTCTCATGTGTATCTGTAAAGTTGAGCAGTGGTTAAAAGATTTCTTACAGACCGAGCAGCTGAAAGGTTTCTCTCCTGTGTGGATTTTCATGTGTGTATTTAAATTTGAACAGCGGTTAAAAGATTTATTGCAAACTGAGCAGCTGAAAGGTTTCTCTCCTGTGTGGATTCTCATGTGTGTCTTTAAATTTGAACCCTGGTTAAAAGATTCCGTACAGACCAAGCAGCTGAAAGGTTTCTCTCCTGTGTGGGTTCTTATGTGTGTCTGTAAATGTGAACGCTGGTTAAAAGATTTCTCACATACTGAGCAGCTGAAAGGTTTCTCTCTTGTGTGGATTCTCATGTGTTTCTGTAAATGTGAACGCTGGTTAAAAGATTTCTCACATACTGAGCAGCTGAAAGGATTCTCTCTTGTGTGGATTCTCATGTGTTTCTGTAAATGTGAACGCTGGTTAAAAGATTTCTTACATACTGAGCAGCTGTAAGGTTTCTCTCCTGTGTGGCTTCTCATGTGTGTCTTCAGATCTCCTTTTGTGTCAGTTGTTTTCCCACACTCAGAGCATGTAAATAGTTTCTCACCAGCACTACATCTTGAATCACTGACATGGACTTCATCAGGTTTCAAAGAGTTTGAACCTGACTGAGGTTCTCTGGTCTCCTTCCAATCATCACTGACATCAGTGTCAGAAGATTCTCCACTCTTGTCATCAGCATCTGGTTCTGGTCCTCCACAGTCCTCTCCATCAGCTTCTGTTTCCATCTGTTCAGTTTGTCTTTGATGAAGCTGTGAGGACTGAGCTTCCTCATCTTCACTCTTCACAGGAGTGAATGAGAACTTGATACGAGCCTCCTCCAGACCTTGAAGCTGCTCTCCCTCCTGACTAGTCCAGAATTCCTCCTCTTTAATGTGTGGGGGCTCTGGGTACTCCTGTTCCTCTTTAATGTGTGGGGGCTCTGAGTCCCCCTGTTCCTCTTTAATGTGTGGGGGCTCTGGGTCCTCCTGGTCCAGACTGGAGCTCCACTCCTGCTGCTCAGGGGGATCCTCTTCTTTAACCACCAACAGCTGCTGGACGTCTGCAGGAAAACAGATGTCCAGCACACACACAGACGTTACAAAGAAATATTAGTATTGAGCAAATAGTCTCCTGTAGATACACTTTTTTTCCTGCCATCATTCCCTCTTACACTCCCTGTGCACAGTTACCAAACCAGTAGGAGCTCGCTCAAATTGTGGCAGCGGCAGCTAGCAGAGGCACTTCATGTTTTTCGTAATTTGACAATATGTGACAATGCATTAAGGTCCTTGAAGGTATGACTGTTGCTAGTTGTAAAAAAATGCCGAATTGTAATACTATGGCTACTCCTTTTAATTCAACTAAGCTAATATAGGCTAACATCAGTTGGCACTTGTTGCCATGGCAACGATAAACACTTTCATGCAGCGGACTGAAGGAATGCAAATTGTAATTAAAGCTGCAAGCAGCGATATATGGGCCCTCGCACCTTCCCGCGTCTCGGGGGTACTGGCGGGACGCCGGCAGACGCGGCCGCAAATGTCTTTGACCATCAGACAACGCATCTCGGAGTTCAACGTATTTTTCCAGCATGGACTGATGCTGGAAATGATATAGTGCAAATATTCCACCAGTTCCAGTATCCACTATGTTACATCAGCTTGTTGTTTAATGGCGAATCACGTACAATGGCCGCCACGCCACGGCTATGCCATTCCATCAAATGTAAAGCTTTGAGTAACTTCGAATTGCAAAGGTCTTTAGATTGTAATGACCAAATTTGGAGTGGATCTGACAAAGTCCCCAGGAGGAGTTCGTTAAAGTATAGTGACTAGAAATCAAGGGGAAATTCACACAACTCTAAATGGCCGACTTCCGGTTGGTTTTAGAGCATGGTCCCAAGAGACTTTTTTTTTTAAGTCTCCATGTGATACATACAATATTTGTAGGGGACGCTAACGAGGCAATTTTCAATGGTCAAGCCAAAAAGCCATATGAAATATTTATTTACATTACCTATGACACCTGTGCAAAGTTCCAATGCTTGCTGAGCATCCTAAGCCACAGAAAAATAAGCTTCATTTTTCATGGTGAATGACGCGTTGCCACAGCAATGGGCGCCACATAAAATGGTCGTTCAATGTCACTAGACCATTTCAGTAACTTTTCATCATTAATATCCTTAGATAATCTTGACCAAATTTGAAGTTGATCACATGAATTCTGTGGGAGGAGTTTGTTAAAATACAACGTCTGAAAACGATGAAAATTGCCAAAAAAGCCAAAAATGGCTTAACTACTGTATCGCTCCCTAGTGGTTGAATGGAATGAAAATTGTAGGGTACGTAACAATATACGATGTGCACATATGAGACAAATGTCGCGATTATAGGTTAAATGGTTTTGAAGTTATGAGTATTGAAAAACAAACCCACGCCTTATGAAGTTCATTGGTCCATATCTTCAAAACATAAGGAGATATCAAACATCTTTTAATAAAATGTTATTATATAGATCCAATACTGATCCACGGGAAACTTAGTAGCAATCAGACTCAGCATGTAGGAGGAGGTTGCAAAAAATGGGTTTTTCACGAAATTCAAAATGGCGGAAAATTTTGGTAGGCGGAGCTTAGGGGTCCAACCGTTCGGTACGAGGCTCACGGTTCGGTACGCATGACGAACCGAACACTACGTTTGAATAATATTAGTGCATTTGGAAAATGCAGAAGCTTAAATTGTGGGAAATATTATGTTTTCGGTGGAGCCACTGTTCTCAAACTGGCAACCCACATGACGTAACAGACAGCGTGCTCTCTGACACGCCCACCACCAAAGAAAAATGTTCTACTCCAGTCAGGCACTTTTGCACTGTGAGACACGCTACATTAAGCTAGCTCGCTGCAGTATGGCTAGTAATAGACCAGAAATAGAAGATCCTTCAACGACCTGCAGGTCTGGTGTTTGGAGCCACTTTGGTTTCTCTGTGAACTATGAGGGCGAGTGGTGGATAAAAAAAACACTATGTTGCATTTGCTACAGGAGTGGCTACATCAGTGGGAATACCTCAAACATGTTAACCCATTTACGCCGACATCACCCCAGTGTGGCAGTGGGTGGAACTAAACGAAAACCTGGAACAGCACACACGCTTCAAACTCTCAGCCACTTCCTCTACCCTGTCTGGCAGCTCTCGCCCCAGCCGCAGAAGACCAGTGTCCCTCGGGGCTACTACAGCCACCAGCCCCGGACTTTCCATCGATTGTCCCTCATCCCGCTCTGCCCCCTCTTGTGTCCCCCACGGTCCCCGGCTGCCTGCCAGCAGCACATCACCACCACCGAGCCTGCCTGCTGAGTAACACGGCCACCTTCCCCCGTCTCCTGGTCAGCGCATACCTATTTTGCATTTGACTTCACGTATGAATCAGAATGCATTTAATATTATTATAAGTATGTATTTTAGAGTTGTAATAATAAAATATGATTATTATTTCAGAGCCTTCAACATCGGCTGCAGGACGTGGCCTCTATGGGTCCCAAACTCCTTCCTCTCCCTCCCACTGTAAATGCTTTAAATAATCTGAAAAAAACAAACTATTATAACATGATGGTGACATTAGCCATGATGAAGAGTAAACAAAACATGGTTATGCTTTTTCTGTTATTTATACAGCCTCCCAACCTGCAGAGACCCGACCTTCATCATCCAGCTCCTCGTCTGTTGGACCCACGATATACTTCATGTAAGCTTTCATTGTATGCCAACCCATGAAAATCTGATCATTGTCTTTAATTCAAAGTAAAAAAAAAAAAAATCTTTTAATAGGTCACCCTGACCCTCCCGAGAGCTCAGAGGGATTGGTGTCGTGGGTCCAGTGTGACAGCTGCCACACATGGTATCACACTGTGTGTGTGGGGCTGGGACGAGGAGCTGGATGATGAAGAGGATTATTTTAAATGCAATTTGTGTCCTGATTTTTAATAAAATTTTTGATTGGTTTGTTTTTAAATAAATGTTTGCATAGAACTTTTCAAATCATTTGCAGAAGTTATTTGTCTTTCACTTTAACAATGTAGCTTTTTAATCGTGAATACTTGTGTTTTTAGTTGTAATAGAACTCTTACTCTGCACTGTGTGTTATGACAGTAATTGTTATATACAATATGTGTACATAATTGTTAAATTCCATGCATCAGCTGGTGTTTTGCCAGTGATTGACATGAGAAGAGTTTAACAAAACATCCAGCAGGTGGTGGTATACACTCAAGCGGAAATTAAGGAGCTTTTATTGCTCAATTTGGAGTTGTTGAAGCGTGATATCTTATTGTGAAGGACAGAACTACGTTCCCGGATGTGTTGACAGCATTGATGGTCATTTTTGCGACCCTGTAACAAGCGAATATCCCCGAAAAAACAGCAGCACCCAGTGTTCACAACGAGGATAGAAGTCTGTACGGATTAGGCGAATAGCGGCGCACGGCTAATTCACCGGCGTTAGCATCGTTTTAACGACTCTAGTAAAGGCAAAGCTAACTTTAATAATTACAACAATATTTAGTTTGAAAGTTATAAAGTTAAACTTCAGTTTAACACCATTAAATCAACTGAAAACATAACACGATCATTTTTAATCAACATTTTAAGTGAATTGTATTGGAACATTAGCTAAAAACTGCCCGGTTCGGGGTACAACTCCGTTACATAGAAACGTTATCAGCCGGAGCATGAACAGAAGAAATAAAGTGACCCAACCTGCTCCGTGTAACCGCAGCTGAGGGTTGAAAACAGCGTCCAGGAGTTTCCGTTGTCGCTCGTTCTGCTCTTTTAAAACAGAAAGTTCCTCCTCGTACTCTGCTATCGTTCTTTCAAACAGACCAAATATCTCTTCATCAGCCGCAGTTAGTCGCTGGTTGAGTAAACATCTCAGCATTTGGACTTTAGACATTTTCACTAAACCACAGAGACGTTTCCTCCAGACAAACTCCGTTAAAAACGGTTTGCTCACTCTGAGCTGCGCTGTGTTGCTTATGTTCGGGTCCGTCTACTTCCTGGTAGCATGCTAACTTCATTAGCTCCGTATGACACCAGGAGACAATCCACCAACGACACACACTTTCTCTCCACACAAACTCCGTCAAAAACACCGTTTACTAGTGATGGTTCCTTCCGTGTCGAGGCTTCAAAGCATGTGTTGAGTAATCAGGAAGATTTTTGTGAGGCGCGTATAGAGGCTCGTGTTGATGACGTGTGTGTTGACGTTCGAAGCCTTGCAAACTGGCTGTACCACGTGACCGATTCAGGAAGTGGTTCGCGGGTTGGGTGAAATATATAAATGTATAATATATATATAATAATATATAAATATAAGGGTTAGGGTTAGTTAATATATAAATATTTAATATATATATATATATATATATATACTAATATACATATATATATATATATATATATATACTAATATACAAATATAAGGGTTAGGGTTAGTTAATATATAAATATTTAATATATATATAATAATATACAAATATAAGGCTTAGGGTTAGTTAGTATATAAATAAATAATCTATATATAATAATGATTTGGGAGAGTTTTAGACTTGCAGCTGCATCATTCCAAAGAAATAATAACAATAAAAGTGCTTGTTTTTCAGGCGAACCTGAAACTTTTCAATTTGAGCTGTGTGCCATCTTCATTTACTCTTAACCAGTAACATATACACTGATAGCTGGAACAATTTACTAACTGAATGCCTTTATTATTCAATCAAATATCAATTCAAACAATAAAAAGCAGTACTATCACATACATTTAACAAACTGTAGCCACAGGATGAAAACAGTGTGAATTAAGTACAAAACCACACTCTTAAAAAAATAATTTAAAGGGGCTGAATTACAAACTCAGAACAAATGTATGATTGAAGGATCGCCTCCGCACGGCTCTCAATATGGCAACAAGGGTGCAACAGTTCACACAACAACAACAGTGCTGACAGAGCTAAAAATGTTAAGCTTGGAACAGCGTTATCAGCTGTAAATAGACAATATTTGACAACAACAAAACAGGTAATTCAATCCAAGGTTACTTCATTTACTTATCTTAAACAATATTGATCTCAAGAGTATATAAGATTAGACATTAATCAACGAATGAAAAATAATTTAAAAATGATTAAATTAACACTTTAATAACAAGAGCACAAAGTTCTTCATAGCCTCTTGATTTTGGCCTCAAAATGCACCAGATTGATGCATTTAACTTGAAAATGTACAACATTTTCTTCCAGGTGATCGTGCCTCGAACCCCTCCAGCAAACTCGGAGCAATCAAGGTTTATTGTGTCACTAATAGCAAGCGGGGGCTAATTGTGTGAGGACAGGGTTTTGAGGGAAACAATTCAAAATCTGAACGTGGAATCAATAAGCAATGCTCTCAAATTAAAACATGCTTTTGAATAAAGATAAGAAAAAGCACCATATTTCTTCCCCTGCGTTATGTGCCATGTGGTGTGTCAGATTTACCTTTTGTATACAAACAGAACCGTTAAAAGTTTTCTTACAGAAACTACATAGAAACGTTATCAGCCGGA